TGCTTAGACTGAATGCTGCCATCGATTTCCATTTTCTCCGCAGGTTTCGGAGCCGTGGGTCTGCCTGGAGGCGAAGTGTTGGACTCTTGGTTTGACTGGAACCTATTGTATGGCACTCTGATGTATCCTTGGCCAGCGTTTCTGTTTGTCCAGTTATAACTGGTGCGGGCTCGAGGAGGTATGGCCGGCCTCTGCTGGTTTTGCAACAGGTTATTCGTAGGAACAACAACCCTATTCACTGCGTTCGTATGCACTATTGTATTTCTTAAAGTCAGGTTTTGGATGTCAAGGCAAGCTGAGTACGCCTCTGGAAGTGTTTTTGGTTTCTGGACTATTAGCATGCGTGATAATTCAGGATTCAGACCCCTAATAAACACGTCAAGGGCCCTATTCCGGTATGTTTCTATGAGGACGGAAACCGTTTCCTGCGTATAATCGTCGCATTTAATCTTGTTGACGATCAACGACAGTTGGTGGTTAACTGTCGCATAAAATTCATCTAGTTTGGAATTTCTTTGAGCCAACTGATTTAACTGGTGTTCTAGCGTCCGTATGTCCCTCTTGTCTGCGTAGTGCAGTGATAGGACCTTTTTTATCTCAGTCCAGTCACTCTCGAAAACATTATATGCAACTAACGCCGCATCAGCCCCTCCCCGGATTTTTTGCCTAACGTGCTGAAGGATAGCCCTATACAAAGGTTTTCCCTTGATCACTTCGTAATCGGAAAGGATGCCTTCGACATTATGTATCCATGAAATATATTGAGCTGGATTTCCCTCAAAAGTTTGCAGCTCTTTGACACAGTCGGGGAGCCTGCCGATTTCCTTGAGGTCCTGTTCGGACATTGGCGCTCAGGTGTTCGCGACTGAGCTCCCTTGTTGAGCCACACTATTTTCTCCTTCTACACTGCCCACACTATTTGCTCCTTCGACACTACCTAGCCTACCGTCAATCCTGGTAAGGTTTTGGTCCAGGATTGCGCTGCTCGCTTCTATCCGTGCTAGTCGAGCCTCTAAACCTAACCCATTTTTTTCAATTCCCGTCAGACGCCCCTCCAATTTTCTAATTTGTTCGAGGAGAGCGTTAATTCCCCCAGTTAGTTCGTTTACTTTTGTCGTTAATGCGTCCATTATCTCTTGTTTCAAATATTTATGCACGTTTTCTTTAAAAATTGAATTTTTTTTATTATTATTATTTTTTTGCAAAGTTTTATACGATCAGGTACCGGGTACTGCCAGCAAGAATATTCTTTTTCGTTTTGCACGGTTATTAGCTTTTTTTTGTTTTTTTTTGCTCGGATCTTCGTCCTCGTGCTATGTTTGTATTTTCTTTTTGTGCAAATAGTTTTTGTTTCGGAAAAAAAACAATCAGTCTCGATTTGAGTTAGAGGTCGGTTCCTTTCTTACGTTTTCAGAGTTTCCTGCAAAAAGATAAGAAAGGAGCCGCGATTAGACTTGTGAAACTTTTACCGTGTTCTTATGTGTACGGCGACATGTACCAGGTTGGCGTTTCACGGCACATTAGTCTTTAAAGAAAGAGTTTCGGTCAGGAAGGGCTGTGTCATCCTTTTTAGTCGTCAACAATCAGATTGAAGGCAACCTACTAAGGCACAACTTACTTCACAACATAATCTTGTACCTATTGCAATTTCCAGTGTGTTCTTATGTGTACGCTGGAAATGCCGCAGAAATCGAAGTAGCAGTATCCAGTGTGTTCTGATGTGTACCCTGGAGACACCACAGGCAGCTTAATGCAGGAAAACAAGATATGTTAACCTATTGGCCTTCGATGAGGTGAGTATCTGCCTAGGAGTATAGGGTCAGGGACTCACCCAGCCATGTGATCGTGCCAGGATATTCAGTATTGTAAAGGCGTAGTCGTGGACGGTGTCAATTTGTTTTAATTTTCACTTTGAATAAATGCTATTTATTTGTGTACCTGAGGGTCTTCGGGGTCACAGGTCCACTTAATATCATGTTATTCCTGGTTCGGTCGCTGATGACCCGCAGGATATGACGTAGTAATTTACAGCTTTAGCCTGAGGTTCATTCGGGGTCACAGGTCTAAGCGACAATTTATCACTCTGCTATTAGAGCCTTTAATTTTTTTGCTCTCACATTTTTTATTGTTTCCTTATTTACCTCTTCTGGGAAGAGGAGCTTTTATACTCTGGAGGGTCCCGTAAGGAATCGCAGAGTTAAGCTTCTATTATAAACCGGAGGGTCCCCCCGAAGGTGGTGAATCGCGGCTTCAAGGATATTAAGTTATGGATGGTCAATCCGTAAATTATTCAGTTCACTATTTGATTTTTATTCACTTCTTTGGTTTGACCCCTTCTAGGAAGGGGAGCTTTTATACCCTGGAGTGCCCCTGGAGTTGGGGATCGCAGAGCTAAGCTAATGTTATAAACCGGTGGATACCCAAAGGTAGTCAACGGTTTCAAAATATTTTGTTATGTGGATGTACAAGCCATAAATTTATAAGCACCTTCACATTCAACACTTCCACTTATCACAACACTGTGCATCACTTGTCACGATCACTTGAAAAAGGACTCCAGCAGTTAAGAGGATCCTTTTCCTTAGGCCCCACAATTAAGGAGGCCCTTCCTCAGAGACCCACACTTTCAGTGGGTCCCTGCTCGGGCGCCAGTCATCGAGCTCACATCCGTGAGCCCGAAAAAGTTAAAGTTGGGGGCCGCACGGCGGCCCCGAGTTGTCCTTCCTAAAATAAAAGACAATAATTAGTTTTGTACAAGTATATTTACCATCTGCTTCTGCTGTCCCAAATGGAATGAATGCAACATATTTCTTAATACTATGACTTACTGTCTAACCGGCTGAATTAACTGCTGACGCTGCGCTTCCCATAGATTCAATTATGCTAACGTATGTTCGATTATTTTTGCATGAGAGTTCAATTACCCGCACTGGTTATGCGCGTGTTTGGGGAAGTGCGGCGTCAGCACATTCACACAGGTATGTGTGTTAGCCCCCGTATTAACTTACATGATTGAGTTTTTTTTTTGCATTCACATTCTCTATGTGAATGGGTGTCAACCATTCCATAACACACTACATATTTTGTGTTTACAATTTGTAACCAATCTCAAGAGTGGTTGTTAAATTTTTTAAATCAAACAATCACAATTTTGAAACGAAAAAAATGAGAATGCACACTCAATTGATTCAATCATTACACAGCTCTGTTACGCACGTAGCATTTCTCTTTCCGCGTGATTTTTTGAGTTGAAATTTCAAAGGATAATCGTTATTTGCGGTCCCTGGAATTTACCAGTCTTTGTTTTTGTGAGTTATTTAACGAGTGGTGTAAAAAGTTATTAACTAAAAATAACATTTATGATTGCACTAGTCTTTCTACTTGCGATTTCTTTATAAAAAACATGTGAATTTTAGTTTAAACATTTTAGCCGTTTTTTTTTTGCCAATATAGCCGGTCGGCCAAAAAAGTTCTGGCAACACTGCTTCTCATATTCGAGTGAGAGGAAATTTCTTTGCTTTTTTCGATCGCGGATGAAAAGCAGCGGAACTTTTTTTGTCGATCGCATTCCGAATGTGAGGATGATAAATTTGTTTGCATTTTTCACTCGCGATAAAAGAATGCAAAAATATATTTGGAATATTATCGATCGCGATAAATCTCATAAATTAATAATCATAAATGAGAATTTCCGAACCGTGTTAGAAACAGTACTCAGACGTTTATATTTTTAAGTTTATCCAGTTTTTTTTAATCTTAATTACTTTTATCAAAATATAGTTCACAAACCACATAAACCAAAGTTTAAAACTTTGAGCACAATTCGCGAAAATTCAACAAGTTTCAAAAAATTATCAAAATTTCAATTTTTTTGGTGTTTTGAGGCTCTTTCCTGTAACGAATGCTCGAAGTTTTTTTAAATGGAAGAAAATGCACAATACCATCCGCAAAAACACAAATAAAAATTCTCACAACGTAACGCGTTAGTCACCCATTATAATATTTTTTGGTATTTTACACGAAGCGAATAAGAAAAATGCAATAAAAGTATGACATATTTTGTTTTTTTATTTGGTAACATCTGTTCTACTATTGTTAGTCAAGCTTATTGCTAGCATTCATACATGTATAACTTATATGTCACTGGAATATGGTTTACTTTGGATGTGTCGTGTATTGTTTTTTTTATAAAAAGGTAATGTTCAATATTTTGCCACGATTTATCTCGATTTAAATATACACTTCGCAAAATCCCTAAAATAAAATAAAAGATAACAATAATAGCGGATAGCGCATATAAAAGACCATTCCAGGCTTGCACTCATTATACAAAATGTGTGGCATGTACGAAGTTGCTACGAAAAAATAAAATTTTGTTTTGTGCTTTTTAAGCAATAAATAGAAACATTACATAAAGAAGACACATAAAAATTGCATTAAAAAGCCCTTTGTCATTTCTAAAACAAGGGTGTAAATGTGGCGCTCATGACATGTGTTATTTGTATTTAATTTCGGAAACATGTTATTTTGAGATTATCGCATGCAATTAAAACATCAGCACTGAGGGAAGGATAGTAGGCACACTATAGTCTATTAGTAATATGTTTCTACAAATTGGTTAAAAATGCAATTATTGTTCAAAAGAAATCATGATAATTCACCCAGACACTTAACAAAATTGATCCGCTCATTGATTTGGATTTCGATTTTCATATGTAGATACTTATGTATATTAATTATTATTATCGAAATAATTTTTCTTTTTACAAAATAACGACAACTTATGCATATCCATACATTTCACGTCGACCAATGAAATAAATGATCATCAAATACATCAAAATTGCATTACGTTAATTTAGACCCATCTAAGGTTTGGACAATGTGTTTCGATACAAGTGCAGTCGCTTCACTAGCGTTCGGAATAAGAAATCGATCCATGTCGGTTATAAGCAGACCATCTCCATTTGGAAATCCGTACTTGAATGTGATCAAATCTCGATGCCGTTTCTTTGCAGTTATCTTCACTATGCTCGATAAAGGTCGTCGTACTATTATCTGTGCTTGCCCATGCCCAAGCTCACGTAAAACAATCAAGTGTGTTGCTGTTATAATCAAATGACTATCATACATATATCCATTCATGTGCACTTCTTGGCAGCGGAAAGCGTTTATGATGTCAGTCGACTTTAAGTACAGAGTTAAATTGACAATTTCTTTTGCGTCACCGGGCAGCTTGGAACCAGCCATCTCAGCTGAATTTTTTAATTCATTGTCGTTGTAATGGTCATCATTATCGTCATCAATACTGAATACAGGTGCCACATTCCGATATCGCTTACCATTGCGTTCATTAGCGGAAACATGCCGATCTGGAACGGCCGTTTGGCCACTTAAACTACCCCCGTGGTGATGGCCAACGGCGGTACTAGTACCGTTAGAAGGGTTCGTAATGATATCGAAGAGCTTGTCTTTGACTTCAGCTGATTTAATTTTCATTACTGCGGAAAACCTGCTAAATATGTCGGAGGTTGGTCGTTGAGAGTCTCGTCGTGGCTATAAAATTTAATAAAGTTCAATTTAATTGAAATTAGATGTATCTTCAGCAAGTACCTGTTGAGTTTGTCCTGCCTGTCCTAGGTTCCTTAATTCAACGCTGTTTTTCATGCAAACAATACACTTTTTAACATCGTGGTCTTCGAGACAATCAGCCATATGGTCGCCAAAGTAATCGTGTATGGCCGTATAACCACCAGTTAATAACGACACATACTGTGTGTTCTTTTGTAAAAATGAAGCGACTACCATATGGGTATACTGATCCTCCTCCATGCGGCCACTTCCCATAAAACAAAGGTGTTCACCACCGGCGTTAGAATTCGCTTCAATTGCCTGACGTTGCGCAGTTAACAAACCTTGTACTGCAGTGGAGAAAGATATTGGTTCTTGAAGCATCAAATTGCAATCAAGATGAAATGCCGTCGATAGATGTCCTGCGTTGTATTGGTCTGCAGGTCGACAATCAACCAAAAAGAAACGAACAGCATCGGGTGTGGTTAGATCTATAGATGAGTTCTCTACTAATTCATACACAGATACTGGAAGACACAGCGCCTGTTAAAATATATATATATATATATATAATTGTAATTTGTAACGCTGGAAAATTTTAATGGAGTTGTCTTATTTGGACTGATATTAATAATTTAAATTTTTTCAAATGTAATTTTCAACTCACCTGCGATACGGTGCAGGTTTCATTGCGCGAGCTCTTCTCACTTTGCGAACCGTACAACGCCTTTAGAAAGTCCGTCTTGAAAGAACTCGGCGTTTTGAGCGCGTAATACTGAGCAAGTGAGCAAAAGTCAACTACATCATCCGGTTCTAAAGCACAAGGCATATTAGAAAGAAATTTTAGTAATTCTTCCTTTGTTGTGTTCTTCATCGCCAAAATTTGATCACGCCCATTGACAAGAATAATCAGGGCCAAGAAGAACACCATAAAAGGATCTGCATGTTGAAAGTATAAGTCCCACATTGAAAGAATGACCGACAAACTACAGCTCGATGCGAATAAGCACTGGAACCATTGAATAGAGTATAAATCTGGTGTAATTTTTTTCGTGTCTAGCATTGTGCACAATTCCGGATCATGATATAGTATTAGTAAGCGGAACACATGAAATACATTTCCTTTGGGTTTGCAACCTTTCGGGATGTAGATATCGCGTATGGATTCAAAAAGGTTGTATGTGTCACATCGGTTTAATTTTAGTGCTAACAGTGGCAATAGCAACTCAATCCAACCATTGTCACTTTCATATTGCAGGTTTCGATTCTTACAATAAAATGTGAGAATCGACTCCAAATCAGAAATTACTGAAACTTTGTCTTCATCATCGTTGCCAATACGGTCAACGACCACTTGGCAGTCCTCGCGTAAGGTATTTTGAAAGGGTAAATCAAAAATTTCATTAAAGAGAGACATCTGGTCGCTTTTGTGGCGCACATCCAAGCACACCTGCCAAACATCTGGACGCAATGCTTCGGGAATGGCCTTGCCTCGACAAATCGCATATATGTCATTCACATTGCAGTCGTCCAACAGCGCAGACTCTAATTCTATAAGCCTAAAATAGATAAGCATTTATAATTTTAATCAGCACTACTCTAATATTATTAAATGCTAAAGTGTAAAGCTTTATAGACAATAGATTGGTGAATCAGCTTTTGAGATAAGACAAGGTGATAAAAGCATTCGAATATAGTGCGGAACGTGGACAGAATTTACGTGTTTGTTCCAACAACAATAACAAGAAACCACGAAAGCAACACGTACTTTCTAAGCACCTAATTAGGTATTGAAGATGCAACGGCTTCCCTTCCATAACTAGATATGTTTGCATCACTACTATTGGTAACTCACCATAAATTATCGTCCATTTCTGCAATATTGCCTATGAAGATTAACAGAATATAAGCCTTGTGTGTTTTCGTTAAGAATAAAATAGTCAATATTGCCTAGAACACATTCAAAAACTTGTTTGTGCTTGTAACATTGTAATACCTTTTAAAAAGGCTTAACTGCTAATTTTTTGCTTTAATACTTCTTTATGAATTTATATTTTAAATAAAATTTTTATTTTTTCTCTTATGAATGTGAAAATTTTTATTTATTTTTTATAACTTTTTCCTCTTCTTTTCTTCTTTTGACGTTTGTTTAGAATTAGTGATGCCAGACATTTTCTTTAAAAAAACTGCGAAAATCGGAAAAAATCCCTCAATTACCCACATCTTAAAAATGCATGATCCAACTACACAAGATCTGACAAGATGAAGCAAAAGAAAAAAGTAATTTTCTGGCTGACGTTTGTAATTTCGGCGAAATGTTATTGAATAAAAAGTAAACAAAGAATATGAAGACGAAGCATAAAGATAAAAATGTAAGCAATTTTGCAGCACATGTTTGTGCTAACCAAATTATCTTGTACGTGTTTTTGCCACCAATCACCACGCAGTTCATTTTAAATACATTTGCTCAAAAAATTGATTGAAAATCGCTTAAAAATCAAAATGTAGACGGCGTCGTTTTCCAATTTTGTATGGGAAACAACAACACCACAGATTTTACGGTTAGAAAACGTCCTAAAATGTAGACGTCTACATTTTGAGACACTATTTGGAACGAACTGTGAACACCCCATATGTTTTTTACGCGTCTACATTTTGCAACCTCGCAGCAGGGTTGCATTATGGCAATACTAATCACATTTTTTTTATTTATTGGGCACGTTTTCGTATTTGCATTTAATTTGAGCGCAATTTCTGATGAAAAGAAACAAATCAAGGAAAAGAAATAACAAATATTACGAATTGGTAATTAAGTTAAATAATTACAATTTTTCAGAAACAAAATCGAAAGGCGACATATAAAAAATGCACGCAAGGAAGAAATGTTTGGCAACACCAGCAAAGTTTTGAGACGATTTTGCGACGACTGCTAGAAAGGGGTGCTCACAGTTTGATGCTAAAGATGTCTCAAAATGTAGACGTCTACATTTTCAGACACAATTTGGAACGAACTGTGAACACCCCAATTGGTTCGCGTTGTCACTTACTCAGTAGGTCATAACAATAAAACTGACAATTGTCATACGACAGCTTAAAATAAATTTGCGGCATAGTATTAGGCGCGGTAGTAAAGGCAATAGTCAGCCGCTGAGTTTTGTCAGTGGTGTGGGAATAGGGCGGTAAGATTTAATAAATCCAGTTGCTAAATCACAACCGTCTCCATTACCACAACGAGATATGTTTGACGTTCATATTTTTAAATATTTGGCGTTTGCTTATGTATGATTTTATAAATACAGTTGCGGACATTGATATACAGACAGATAAAAGGAAGGTACCAAGCGGAATTTCATTATATGAATTCTGAATATTATTGTCTTCTTATTCGTGGTAAATATGTATGTATGATATATAGTTTGGAAAGTGTAAAGAATGGTACCATATTCCGAATCATTTTCCCGAATTTAAGAAAAATTATCAAAACGGTAAAAAACATTTGTGGAAAGAAACATTTTTGTAGAACTCTCTTATTCATAGGAGGGAACCGAAAATCCAATCGTGGGCCTTTGGCATATCATGAATACGAACTGAGTTCTAGATGATGTTCGGTGCAATGTTATCGAAGCAGAACCAATACCGAAATTGACTAATTTTGATATGATATTACTATAGAACATTTCTTCTAAATTTTTAGTTTTTAAAATAATATTTTCTTAATTTATTACAACCAAAGTTATGTAAAACTATGTTCACATATCAATATTACCTCAATCAAAGCTCGTTTTTTAATCGCACCGTTCACACAGGCAAATCTCAGATTATTAGCCGTCAAATTTGTTGTGCTTGTTATTCTCACATCTCAAGGAAAAGTTATTTTTTTTTTCTCTGTGCCACCGTGATCACGTTTTTCTGCTATATTGAGCAATATAGATATATTTTAACTTAACATTTTATTAAAAAAAATACCTTTAGAACCCTCTTTTCCTTGCCAGCGTCCATTTTTGTTTACTTTTACATTTGCCATTTCTCCTCTTCTTCGCAAAAACAATCGATAAAACTATGATGGACACCGAAAAGTTATCGGTTAAATCTGAGATTATTTTATAATTACAGATTAACAAGGGAGGAATTTTATATGGCTAATCTCTTGTTCTAATTACAGATTAGGAAGTTAAGCTCGAAAATGAAGATAATCTACTTATATGTGAACCTAGTATAAATATGTATTACTAATTTTCCTCCCAAACTAACAAAAATATAAAAATCCCTAAAAATACGAAAATACATGTTTTTATGATAGGCTAGATTTCAATGTCCTCAACTGTATATTGAAAACACAAATGTCATTTGACTATGGCATGTGAATTTGTGGCTGCCACATCCAACAAATTGTACTTATTGATCAATATTATTGAAGACTTGACGAAGATTTAACTTAAATCTACTGGCCCGTAGTCATAGTCAAAATAAAGTCGACTTTAAAGTTAGTTGCAGATTTTTGACAGATATCCCATCGAAAATTATGTCAAAAAGCTGCAACTAACTTTAAAGTCGACTTTATTTTGACTATGACTACGGGCCATTGCCTTCGAGATTTAATTTTATATGGTAAATCTCAAAAGATTTAACGTCAAATCTCGTCAGAGGGCTAAACAGGGTTTGCAACCACACTCGTTGGTGGCGCAGTTAAATACTTTTTAGCAGCCTTTTTTAAATAAGAAAAAATGGAAGAATGGCAATAATGGAATATATTGACACTACGAAGAACAAGTGGTTGATTTAAATATACGTTTATTTCAACTTTGCAGATTTATCATGGAATTCCAAGTGGTAACTAGGATCCTATATCGCAATTTCTTCATCAAAAGTGTCTTAACTATCATTAAGTTCGCAAGTATTACAAAAATTTTAAAATTTGTTCTTTTACATTGTCTACATTCATCTAAAATTAAAAATATTTTCCTTTGAATCTTGGATCGATAAAAGTAGCAACCATATAATTTAAATTATTAAAGGGGCCATGCAAGGAATTTAACATTTTATCCTTCAAATCGGATACATAACACTCGTCTGTTTCGGCAGTTTGTAATTTTTCTTCAATCAGGGCTACTAGTGGAATTACTATAGATATTCTTGATTCATCAGAACAAATGTTAAGTGTAGCGTCAAAAAATAATTTAAAAATCGCCAAAACTTTAGTTATGTACGCCCATTCATTCGTAGTCAGTGTATGTATAGAACAACTCTCAATCGCAAACATATTACGCAATTTTTTTTTCTAAAGGTTTTCCATAATGGCAAAGAAACTATTCCGTCTAGTTGGATAACCTTGTATTAATTTATGTGTTGGTAAATGTAATAATTCCTGATAGGATTTCAAATGTCTGCTGGCCGATTCACTTCTATGAAAATGGCCCAGTATTTTACATTCTTGTAAGGTCGACAAAGTTTTGTTTGGCAAATTAAATGGGGGCTACTTAGTTTGCTCGGAGGTGGTTATGTCGAGTTTTGCACAGGGTTTCACGCTCATTGTGGTTTTCATGGCTATTGCCAACACGAAATAAGAATTTCAGATGTACATAACGCGCACAATTAATATATCTTTTATGATATCGTATAGGCAATTAACTAGACCCTAATCTTTGAAGCTCTTACAGCATAAAATCAGTTCTCTGGCTTTCGGTATCACAAAACTAGTTTGCTGTGAGAGTCGCCAAACTCGCTCTCTCTGAGTTTGCCGCAACAACAATTGCACGCAGTTTGCCAAACAAAATTTCTGCATAACACCGGCCTTAGGTTCTTTCCCTAACAATCCGGACCGGTAATTAGAGAATAAGCGAAAAGATTGCTCTGACGGTGATGTTGACTGTGGCGGTGACGCTGTCGCAATGGATGGTACGTACTTTAACTTTAAAGCAGCAAATTTGCGGGCACTGATACCATGAAGCCAGCGCCATGGCCATGATTCAATAATACAAGGTTCGATAAACTGACAGTTGTCTCTCTCGCACCGCTCCCTTAGCAGTGGCACATGTTGCTCATGATTCAATAATACAAGGTTCGATAAACTGACAGTTGTCTCTCTCGCACCGCTCCCTTAGCAGTGGCACCGTGTTGCTTCTTTGCAAATTTACATGGAAATAGTGTAGCTTTGGTGTGAAATAGAAGTATAAGCTTTTGTGCAATATGTTTATTTGTATATGCATATGAAGCATATTTAACTGATGAAAACATAAACCGTTTTTAAATCGGATGTTTACATCAATCTCATAGTAGTCTTATTTTAATTTTGAGTCATTTTGCAGTTTTTATACAGCTAAATAGCACATAAATTACGTAATACACGTAGATATATCAATATTACGTTCAACATTTCGTTTAAAATGCCAGATTTCCTGCAAATACATTAGAATTTACAAAAGGAATTTCCCTACTAAGTGCCTACTTTGCGTACTTTTCTACACCGTCCTTTGTAAATGCAACCTTTTGTGAGGGAGTGTCAAACCGCAGCTGTCAATAATTATCTATCCTTGTATTATTGAATCATGGCCATGGCCGTATCAGCGCATTGAATCCGCGCAATTGCGCCATAAGTCGCTGCATTAGTCTAACCTGATCGTAATTTTGTGAATATTTGGCGGAGTGGCAACTACTACAATAGGTGTTTAATTCAACTTGCTTGTTTTATTCTAATTCGTGTTTTGGCTATTTGTTATTAAAAGAACCTGATTATAGTGCTATAAATTGCATCTGTGTTTAATAAGTAACTGAATCCGAGCAAAAAAACTAATTATTTGGTGTATTTTACACATTTGTGGGTTTTATAAGCAAAAGCAACAATTTTTCGCCCATTTTGAAGAGGTTATGAGGAGGAGCCCGGTAGTCGGAGGAGAAAGAAAAGCATACCATTGAATTCCTTGGTCTTTGCTCTTTCAAGCTGTAAAGGTCGGTGGTGCCACGCCGCCTTCATTTTTTTGTACCAGCCTCGAACACACAGATACTTTCCGGAACCCATCTCAAAGTTCTTATTTTATGGTAACAAACCAAGCATTTTAAAGTTATTATAAATTTCGTAAAAATTATACACCCA